CAGGGAGCTGCCTGGCTCCCGCCCCACTCCGGGCATCGCCGGCCCGGCCTGGCCCGGGCGGGGGCAAGCGGGGATCCCGTCGGTGCCGTTCTGCCTGCTCGCTCCGCCGGGCGGCCCCGGGAGAAGCCCTCAACCGGCCCGACGTGGCCCAGCGCTGGGGCTCGTCCCGGCTGGGTCACCCGCTCAGCGGGGGGCAGCGCCTAGAGAAGGCTGCTTTGGGGCGAGAAGGGTGGTTTTGGGGATTCGCGGGGGGCGAGTTTTCACTTGTGCTGCCCGTCCCTTATACGTGACGCTGCAGGCACGTCCCACACAGACGGTCCCCTGCGCCCGTCGCTGGTCCCTCATCCACGGCGCCGAAGCCCGGCTCGGGCGGGACCCGCAGCGCGGTCCCCCCGGGCTCTGCCCCGCCGCAGCCCGGCTTCTGGCAGCCCCCGCCGGCCCTCGGCCCTTCCGGGAGGGCGGCTGCTTCCCCGGCCGCTCCTCCGCGGGCACCGACGGCTGCCGGGGTGCCGGCAGAGCCGGCCCGGGGCAGGGGATGGCAGCGCTAGTTACCGGCAGGACTGGCAGTTGTGTTTCGGGTTCGTTTTTAATATTTTTCAATCTTGGCGTGATATAAACCCGTCCGTCCCAGGCAAGCACGCCTCGGGGGTAGCACGGCAGGTGATGCCGGGGCTGTTGCGAGGTTCCTGTGAGCTGTTGTGGGTGTGTGCGTTTGTGCGGAGCCGCTGCCGGGTCCGGGCCGCGGGGATTCGGGAGCCCCCACGCATGTCACGACAGGAGCATGGAAGGGATGCGCATCCCCCGGGTGGCAACCTGCCACACTGGACGGGGGCTACGAGGAATGTTTTTTCCTGGCTGAGGGAGGATGAGGATTGTCCCACGGCAGGGATGCTCCGGGAGCCAGGAACTAAAAAACGAGACTTGGTAGCAGGAGGGACATCTGTAAAATCCGAAATCGCGCTGCCAGGGTGGAAATCGGGGAAAAGATTGCAAAATGCCCCCACAGCAGTTGAGGGCTGTGCTGCGGGGAGAAGGGGAAGCACCTGGGTAAGCAGCTTTCCAGCAGGGAAGAGCCTGGTTGTGGCAAAGAGCTGTGTGAATCCCACTCGAGTCATGGGCGCTTTCATCCTTCGTGTCACATGAGCCATTTCACCTGCCCTGGGTGCAGGCGAGAGAGGGGCTGGCAAGGGGCAGCCCCAGCCCCAGAGCCGTGGGGAGGTGGGTGCCCATGCCCCGGGATAGCTGAGGCCATGGGGAGGTGTCCTCGGGTGCGTGGGAGTGGGGCGATGCTTGGACCATCAGCAAATGTGCCCATCAGTGCTGCCTCTGGTCAGGCCACGAGGGTCTGAGCCTGGGGCCAGACAGGACGTTCCAAATGACCCTGGGGGACCCAGGGACCAGGACCTGCTTTCTGTCCCCGGGTCCTTGGGCCACCCTGGGTCTCTGCCACACCAGCCTGGTGCGAGCTGGGCGGTGTGCTGTGGCTGGGGGGTGTCCAGGGGGTCCTGCGTGGGGCGGGGTGGGGTGGAGGCAGGTTGGGGCCCCTGAGCAGAGCCCCTTGTTCAGGCGTTGGGGAAAACCCCTCTGCCACCCACCCCATCGCCCCAAGGACCCCATCGCCCAGAGGAGGCAGCAGCTGGTGGCTGCTGCCAAGGGCTCAGCTGAGCCCACTCCTGTCCCCATCCCTGTCCCATGCTGACCCCGACACACCGACAGACCCCGGTCTTGGCAGCCCCTGGGCGCAAGTTCTCCCCTCTCACTTTATCTCTGCCCCTGCCAGGATGCGCCAACCTCAGAAGAGCTGGAGCAATTCGCCAAGGACCTCAAACACAAGCGCATCATGCTGGGCTTCACCCAGGCTGACGTGGGGCTGGCTCTGGGCACCCTCTATGGTAAGGGTCCAGTAAGGGTCCTCATCTCCCCCCCACACCCGGTGGGAAGGGAGAGGCCTGGGAGGGGGATGGAGCACCTGAGCGATGGAGATTTCTGCTCCTTAACGACCTGCAAAGGAGGCGGTGAGCACCAGCCCCAGGGCTCCTGGGGCTCCGGAGCCCTGTTAAGTACTCAAACTGGAAGAGTTTGTTAACAAGGAACTGTCTTAAAATACCTACAGCTGCTTATTGAAGAGTGTTGCAGTGTTTTAAATCCCTGCTGAAGCAGCAGGGAGAATGCATTTCCTAGTCCCCCATCCCCAGGGATGGGCTGCTGCATGGGGGATCCTGGGGAGGCTGCTGGAGGTGGGAGATCCCCTGACATGGGGGCAGGAGCTGTGTGTGATGCCCTGTCTGACCATGCAGGGAAGATGTTCAGCCAGACAACCATCTGCCGCTTTGAAGCGCTCCAGCTCAGCTTCAAGAACATGTGCAAGCTAAAGCCGCTGCTGCAGCGTTGGCTCAATGAGGCGGAGAACACGGACAACATGCAAGAGGTGTGGGGCTGGGGAGGGCCGGGAGCCAGGGGTACTGCACACTGACGAGCCCTCAAGCTGCAGCTTCTCCTCGCTTTTACACATGATTTTGGGGGAAGAAGAGGGGAGAGAGCAGCAGGTGTCTTGTGTGCCGTAGCAGCATTTCACTGCCATGGCTTCAGTCCAACTGTAGGGGGAACCATATCTGCTGGGTATTGCCTTCTGCTAGGCTGGGGGGGAGCCCAAATCCCCCCATAGACACCTTGTAACAACTGTGCCAGCTCCTGTCTGGGAGCAGCCAGGTCCTGCTGGAATCTCAGATAAGCTGGAGATGCAGGAAGACATGTCTGCCCCCGCCCCCGCACCAGCTGCAGGCGGTGCTGGGACACTGGGAATGGCCCCAGTCACAGTGGGGTGATGCTTAGTGGACAATCACAGGGATGAAGCCTGTCCCCGTCCCTCCCAGACCTCTGCAGCCAGCCGCACGTGTGTCCAGAGCCTGGTGGGGACGTTACCACCCCTGTGACCAAGTGTATGGCCTCTCTTCCTTTCCAGATGTGCAATGCGGAGCAAGTGTTGGCCCAAGCCCGGAAGAGAAAACGCAGGACCAGCATCGAGACCAACGTGAAGGGGACACTGGAGAGCTTCTTCCGCAAGTGCGTGAAGCCCAGTCCCCAGGAGATCTCCCAGATAGCCGAGGACCTCAACCTGGACAAAGACGTAGGTTGGGAGGGTTCAGAGGGTGGGTGTCCGAACGGATGTGGTTCCCAGATTGCTCATATCAGGCCAGGTCGATACTGGAAGCTGTGGGAGAGCAGCCAGGGCTAGTAGCCGCCATCAGCCCGGCCGAGCCCAGCCCCAGCAGGAGCTGTGGCAGGGAGGGGGGATGTGCTGGTGAGTTGGGGTGCTGTGGAGATGCCACCAGCAGCAGGGTCTACTTGTCACCCACACAGCACCGGGGCTTAACCCCCTCAACCTTCCCCATCTCCCCTCCCTTGCAGGTGGTCCGGGTCTGGTTCTGCAACCGGCGTCAGAAAGGCAAACGGCTGCTGCTCCCCTTCGGCAATGAGGCAGAGGGGGTGATGTATGACATGAACCAGTCCCTGGTGCCCACCGGCCTGCCCATCCCAGTGACGTCCCAGGGCTACAGCCTGACACCCTCCCCTCCTGTCTACATGCCGCCCTTCCACAAAGCTGAGATGTTCCCTCCAGCGCTGCAGCCTGGGCTCTCCATGAACAACAGCAGCCACTGAACGGGGGGCTGCGGGGGCCAGTGACGGTGCCACCCCCACACCGTGGCCAGGCTGGCTCTCTGGGGGCTGCTCCTCCCCGCCTTCACCCTGAGAAGGCACGGGCACGGCCTCGCTCCCAGGGCTTGCCTGGGCGCTCGCTGGGCTGCCTTCGGGTTTTGGGGCACGAGGGGCAGGGGAAGGGCTGGGAGTCTGGCACAGGGATGGTGCCTGCTCTCTGTGGTTGCTCCCAGCCCTTCCCAGTTATGTGAGTTTACTGGTTCCAGCAGTGTCGGCCCCCCTCTGACCTCTCTTGGGGGGCAGCTGCTCCTGCCCCATTGCACCCCACCAAAGCCACACATGCCTGGGGCAATGAGCACAGCCGCCTGTGCCAGGCCCCAGCCCAGCTGAGCTGCTCTCCTGCAAGACCCAGAAAAAAGTATCTTTTAGATTTTTGGGGTGGGGGGTGGGAGAGGGGTGGTTTTATTTTTTTTTTTTAATGGTTTTTGGTTGTAGTTTTTAAAAAGCAAAAATCTTTGTAGCGATTACTAGTTTCCCAGGTGCCTCCCCCCTGTCACGTAGAGTGGGGCTGGGGTGCTGTGCTCAGGGCTGGGGTCCCCAGCGGCTCCGCCCACCCTCCTGGGCAGCTGGGGTGAGCCAAGGACTGGAGCATGGGGCTGGAGGTGAGCCCTCACAGCCCCAGCTGCCCCTCACCCCGCGGTGCAGGAGAGCTTCACCCATCCGTGGGCCGGGGTGGGGGGCTGGGGGGGGGGGGGGGGAAGTGTTCCTCCCCGGCCCTTGTGCCCAGCATCACCCCAGGTGCCCTGTGCCCTCTCCACTCCCCAGCCGTTGTCCCTCTGCCCCAGCCCAGATGCCCAGGGATCATCTTTCCCTGGGGGGTCCCAGCCCAGGGGGCTGACACCGTCCCATCTATGCTGCTAGCACCCCTGTGCCTTTGAGCCTGCTGTAGTTGATGATTTTTATAATTTTTTTTCTTAATCATACTCCCTCTGGCAATGAAATAAATCTCAGTTCTTTGGGGCATGAGAGTGAGTTAACTCTTTCCTTGCCTCCCTTGCATCCCTGCTCCTGCACAGTCCCAGGCAGCCCAGCAGTGTGGGTTTGGCCACTTGCAGGGGCACAGTCGGGCTGGACCGGTGCACCCAAATAGGGTGGACGTGTCCCTGTCATCCCTGCAACACCCAGCTCTTGGCTGCCTGCAGCCTGGCTCATCACCAGGAGTGGTAGCAGCTTGGCCCTGGAGGGACACCAGCTTGTTGGAGCTGTCCCGCCCAAAGCAGAGGTGGTCAGGAGTAGGGGGGCGGGCGCATCTTCCACCTGGTTTGAGCTGCTAAAACAGCAGCTTTTGGGAAGAGTAGAAGCCCAGCGGGATCTTGCAGGCTGCTCCAGCAGATGCCCGTGGATAGGGAAGGACCGGGTGGGGATGTAGTGGGAGCTGCTGAGCTCCCAGCCCTGCTGTGGGCAGGGGAGAGGTATGGGAAGCCTGGGCTGTCCTTGCTGTGGGGCTGCCACTCTGACACCAGCGGGTGAGGGATGCTCCTCCCGTATGTGTGGTCCAGCCAAGGCAGCCTTGCAGTGGCCGGGCCCGGTGGTGCCAGCCCAGCCAGTCAGGTTGGGGTGGGCACCAGGGGCTGAGCTGGTGGGGATGGGGGGTGCCAGTCCAGCCAGGAGAAGCAAGTGTCTGGGGGATGACACCTCACTTTTCACTGCCATGGCCTCTGCAGCCTGGTTTGCCACCAGCCTGTGTCCCTGAGGGATTTTTCCCCTGAGCAGAAGCAATGAAATGACCAACCCTGTGGGGAAACTTCTGAAAAGCCCCTTTTTCAGCTCGGCTGCCAGTGAACGATGGGCTTGCTCTCTGGGGCTGGCCTGCAGCCTTGCTCCCGTGGGCCAGGCAGGAGCAGGGTCACTGCAGGCAGCTGCTCGTGAGGCACCTCGGGACCCTGCAAAGGTCAGGGCTGCACACCAGGCTGGCTGCCAGCCCTGTGGGGCAGGATCCCCTTGGCTCGCCCTGTGTCCCCGCTTGCTCCCCAGTGCCTGGGTGCCCAAGGCCACATCCCTGGCTGCCCACAGGGTGGGGGCACAGCCAGGCACGGCATCCGCTGGAAACTGCCGCCCCTGCCACTGCTGCCCTTTGCTGCCTGGCACTTTGGGGGTGGGAGGGCTGGGGGTGCTGGAAGCTGGTGATCAGCAGGGTTGGTAGCAGAAAGCCTGGGAAGGGTGTCACCTCCCCGAGGTTTCTCCACATTTCCACCATCTGACTTTTCAGCAAAAGGCCAGCCAGGCAGGAGCCCCAGCCCTGCACAGGACCCCCAGATCCTGCTGCCCCAGCCCCCTGCCTGCAGGCACACAGAGCCCCTCCTGCTCCGTTTTCGGTTGACCCAGAAGACAAAACAAAACGGAAATCGGAAGCCACAGAAATCAGAAGAGTGCAGCACACCCATCAAACTGCAACCCAGCGAGGGCTGGGCCAGGCTGGGTGAGTGGTGGCCAGGGCCAGCACTGGGGCCAGCCTGGGGCAGGAATGTCCCTCCTCTGCTGAGGGGGTGTCACTGCACACCTGAGCCCCGCTGCACCCCGGGCACGGGGAGGTGGGGTTGGGTGACTTTGGGCCTGCGGTAAGGGAAACCAGGGGAAACCTGTGAAAAAATGAGTCGTTTATACCAAGGGGGTTGATGGCACCAAGCTGAGGGTCACACGGGGAGGGCCACAGATGGAGCAGCCGTGTCCCACCCCCTGGTCCTGTCACCCAGCCCCAACATTGCCACTGATCCCACATGGTTGCTTCCCCTCGGGGTACCTGAGCATCGCCCATGCCCAGGGTGCAGGGTGCGTGCACTGCAGGGTGCCAACAGTGCAGGCTGTGTACATGGTGCAGGGTGGCCGCAGTGCAGTGTGTGTGTGGCACAGGGTCCAGCACTGCAGGGTGCTGGTAGTGCAGTGTGGGCAGGGGCTTGGCAGTGCCAAGGGCACACGGAGCAGGCTGCCGGTGCCACAGGGCGCCCACGGGACCAGCTTTGCTCTGGGCTCGCTGTGAGGCTCTGGACGCCACCAGCTTGCTGGCTTCCTGCCACAGCAGGGCAGGCGTGCCGGCAGGGGAGTGAGAAACCACAGCATCCCTCTCTGACTCGGCCTGGCACTGAGCAGGCTGAGATTGCTCTTGAGAGCATGCGGTGTCCTGGCAGTCCTCACCGGCACTGTGACACCGACGGCTCAAGAGTGGGGGTGGGTGCTGCAGAGCTGTGCCGGGAAGTGGTGGAGTAGAGGCTGTGCTCTCCGACCCTGCCGTGGGGTGCTGGGTCCGCCTGAGCTCCCCTGAGGTCGAGTCCTCCACCCCAGCGAGAAATGTCACCATGGGGCCTCTGCCACTGGGGCTTCGCCACCCAGCAGAAGGTGCTGGGGGGCCATGGATCCATCACAAGGGAAGACTGGGGAGCCCTGAGCCCCCTGCCAGCCTGATGCCCTGCCCAGCCCCTGCACCACAGGCAGAGCCTCTGCACCACTGTGTCATTTATTTCCAAAGCACCCTCTCGTCCTGCCAGCACCCCGGCGAGGTAGGTCAGTGTCAGATCTGGGGGGAATTGGTTCTGTTTTGCAAGAAATGAAGTCACGTGGAGTTGCTCAAGGTCCCAGTGTGGCAACAGCCAGGCTGGGAAGAGAGGTTGGGGCTCCTGCATCCCTCCCTGCTCCACATCCTGTTCTGTCGGAGGGTGCCCCACGTTCTCCCCACCCCAGTATCCTCTGTCCAGATGCATCCTCGATGGTCCCAGCACATACCAGCCCCACACTAGGTGTTGAACCAGCTCTCCAGGTCGGGATAGACATGGCCACGGGGCAGGCTGGGGTAGGCAGTGCAGATGGTGCAGATGCGCTCCCTCCAGTCGGTGTAGAGCTTCACACTGTACCTCTTCTGCCAGGCAAAGAACTGCCTGTAGCGGCTGGAGTTCATGGTCTTTAGGAAGGTAGCCAGCTCTGCCAGGGAACCAAAGTCATCAACGTGAATGAAGGAGTCTGCAGGAATGAACTGCTCATAGTTGGCCCGGGGAGGCCCCAGCACCACAGGCACGGTGCTGGCCATCAGAGAGTTCCTCCAGAGCTTCTCAGTGATGTAGTCCTGGTGGATGGAGTTCTCAAAGGCCAGGTAGAACTTGGACTTGGATGTTGTTGGCAAGAGGCAGTCCTTGCAAAGTGGCTTTTTGTTTGCTTTTCCGTATATGTTTACGTGGAGGTACCTGGAGAGGTTTCGGTAGACTTCAGCTCTTTTCTGAGTCCTGTGGTAGTTGCTGATAACCCATGACACCAAGTTGGTCTTTGTGGGGATGTTCATGGTGGCTGACCGGTTGGGCACAAGCTTGCCATAGGGGATGAAGATGTCTGAGTCTCGTCTGTAGGTCATCACCCAGTTGAAGGTCTGGTTCCATCCTGCTAGAGCTTTAGTGTTGGAGGGGGACTCCAGGGAGACCCACACCCAGTTCTGCCCTGGCGGCCTCTCCTTGGGCAGCCTGTCCCTGCCGGGCTGGAGCCTGGTGTGGGGGAACACCACCACATCCGCCTGGTCCAGAAGCTGCCGCTCCGTGGTGAGCCAGCAGCCCGTGATGCCATATAGCTCATGGCAAATGTCCCCACTGACATTGGGGACCTGCTTCGAGGGCCAGTCCCACACCAGGACCACCAGCGGCTCAGTATGCTTGGGGGCTTCTCCAGAGACCTCAGAGGGATTGAGGAAGCACCTCAGGTTCCAGAGGGTGGTTACAAACACCCCGGCGGTAACCACTGCCTTCACTCCAGGCCAGCCCCACGGTGGCCGTGGCAGCGGCAATGCCCGGGGCATGCTGCCGGGCTGGCTGTCACCTTCTCGGGTGACAGAGCTGACACCTGGGAGAGAGGAGAGACCACCAAGGGCTGTCAGCTCACCTTGCCGGGGCAAGGGGTGGTGGGGAGACGCTGGGGCCAGAGGAGATGGAGAAAGGACTTCTCCATGAAACCTGGGCCCCAGCATCACCCCTGACCCCTCTACTGGCCCCTGTCCCCACCAGGATCCCCCGTGCACCTGCTGTCACCCCATGGTGGCTTTTGTGTCACCATCCTGCAGTCCCCCATGCACCATCTCCAGGATGAGCAGGGATGCTGCCAAAGGGAGGTACAGAACCGATGGGCAGCAGCCATCTGTTCCCCCGCCCCAACTGCCTGGCACCACTCCCCATTACATGCACAAATGATGAGGTCCTTGGTACTTGCTCCGAGCCTCAGTTTCCCCACCTGACAAACAGCCACGGTCCCACTCCACACTTCTTGCTTTGCCCAGGATGGGTCAAGCCTGAAATGCAGCCAGCCTTGCCACAGCCAGGCTTGGAAAAAAGGTGCCTGGGGGTCTGCAGGATAGGGCCACACACTGAAGGTTGATGGGGAACACCCCGGGTCCTGCCTGAATAACCCCACAGCGAGGCCCCACCTGTGAAGCAGGGTGTGACTGGGAAGACCAAAACCCCGCTCAGGGCCAGACTGGAGTGTCCTGCCCAAGAAGTGCCCCCTCAGCCCAGCACCATCCTATGGTGATAGCAGGGCTCTCCCCAGGCTTGGGGTGCTCTCCCCGGCCACCAAGGGCGTGGGGAGCCCCAGAAATCTGCAAGCATGCAGCTTCAGTGCCCCAGACACTCATTTTATTTTTGGGGTATCACAGATGGCCAGTGCCCCATGGGCAGGGAGAGCAGTGCAGGCAGGGGCTGCTGCTGGTGGGGCTCAGCCTGCAGGTGCGTGGGAACCCTGGCCACGAGACGCTCACCCTGCCATGGTGCCCATCTGCCTGCCTCAGGCCTCCGCTGGTGGTGCTGCACTTCAAGTGTTGTGCTTTAACCAGCAGCACTGATGGGAACAAAGAATAGTGGTGGTGGTGGTGAGGGGGACAATTGGCCGGGCTGGGAACAGGCTGACAGCTCGAGCCCACCTGAGACTGCCAGTCCCAGGCGCAGGGCTCAGTGCCCGTGGGCCACCCACAGCTTTCATGTCAAAGGTGGTTTCCCTTTCGAGGTAGCCTCTGAAAACACGTTAGCTGCCTAAGTCCCACTGCTGGCCAGGGCTGTGGCGGTTCTGCTGCGATTTTGGAGCCTCCTGGAAAGTGGTGCCCTGCTTTCCCACCCCAGCCACTGCAGCTCTGCTGCAAAAAATCCCTTCCCTGCCTTGGCCTGCTCTGTCTGTCCTGCTAAAATACACAAGCTAAGTTTAGGCTCCAGAAAAACCTGGCATCCGAAATGGGGAGGGTTGGGAAAGCTTTGCCGGCTCCCTGCACCATACACTGGTGCTTTGGGTCCCTCTGCCCGCCGGTCCCCGGCAGTGGGGATGCTGCCCCCGTTTTGAGGATGCTCTGGGAAGGGACACCCCATTCTGGCAGTGCCAGGAGCCGATCCGTTTCTCAGCCCCTCTGCCCATGGCGGGTGGCGGTGCTGAGCTCAGACTTACCAGGGAAGGTCCGGCGTGGTGGCGTGCGAGGTGCCTGCGTGTGTCTGCCGGGGTGGCTGCCAGCGCTGGGCTGGGGCACTCAAGGGCTTCCTCTTTTCTGTGGTTTTGCCTCGTCCCGGCCCCACAGCGGGTCCTTCCTGCTGCGCGTGGCAGCTGGCACAGCCCACTCCCAGCACTTCCCCTGTGCTACATGGGCAGTGATGTGACCCACGGCTAGGTGTGTGCCCTCAGGGCGAGTGCATGCCCATGGGCAGGTGGGTGCTCCATGGCTGGGTGGGTACTGGGTGGGTGCCTCACAGCTGGGTAGGTGCCCCATGGCTGGGTGGGTGCCTTGTGACTGGGTAGGTGCCCGTGGCTTGTGCATGCCCTGTGACTGCCCCATGGCTGGTTGCATGCCCCATGCCAGGGTGGGACACTGTTGCTCAGTGCATGCCCCACAGCAGTGCCCTGGCACCCCTGGGAGAGGCTCCCGGTGCAGGTGCTGCTCACAGCTCTGTGCCTGCACACCATGCCCTATCCCCCTGTGCTTCCCCCCCACTCTCCAGCCAGGCTGCAGCTCCTTGGAGAAGGTGCATGTGGCTTCGTGTGGAATTTCAGTTCCCCAAAGGGGTTTCCCAGGTGCCAGGTTTGAAACACGCCAAATCATGGCTCCTTTCTGCCCAACACCTCTCCCATCCCAGCTGCCAGCCAAAGCCCCAATGCCCCAGCTGGGCTGTGGTTTTCCAAGGTACCTGTCCCTGGTTTGAAGTCTGCGGGATAGCCTCGTGTTCCTGCACTGCTCCATGGCTCTCCAGCATTCCCCATGGTGTGGAAGGGTCCCCTCCCAAGCCAGTGGGGACTGAGGGCAACTTCCCCAGCCAGGTTCCTGGGTTCCTGCCCCCATGGCAGAGGGGTGCCAGGGCATCGGGAGGTGGCACGGGGTGGCATGGAGGAGGGGACAGCGGGTACAGATCCCCAACCCATGCTGAAGCCCTGCCACCCCACCCTGTCCTTGGGCACCCAGCCCTGTGAGGCAGGATGGAGGCAGGGTCCTGAACCCCAGCAGGCTGCTCTGCCCATGGCACTCCTGCCTGTGCAGCTGCCTGCTGGAGCCATGGCCTTGCAGGGGGTAAAGCTGCCTGGTGGGGCTGTGCTGAGCCCATGGGGCAGCTCTGCTAGCTGGCAGCTTTGTGTCAAAGCACATCCCACAAACACTTTTGCTGAGACCACTAATACATTATGGTTGCTGCTGCTGCTGTTATTATTATCATTATTATTGAAAGCAGGATTGTCGGGTCCAGCTGCCTACCCCTGGCACATGCAGCTCCCTCCAAAATCACCCAGGAGCAGCTGAACAGCGAGATGCTCATTCAGCTCGAACTGGAACCAGGCTCTTCTTCGGCGTCTGCTGTCGCCTGTGGCAGAGCTGGCAGGGATGGAGAGGGGCATCAGCCCCACAGCCTCAGCCTGGCACTGCCACTGGCATTGCCTGTAGCCATGACAGGGCCATGGGCGATTCCCTCCTGGCGGGTGCTGGGAAGGAGACGGTGCCTTGCCCAGGTGCTTGTGCTGGGGGTTCGAATGCCCTGCCTGTGCTGGGATGAGTGCAAGCAGGGCCCTGCCCTCAGACTTGCCAAGGTGCATCCCATCTGCCACCCACAGCCTGGTTGAAAACAGGATGCCAGCCTGACTTTGACTCCCACTGACTCATCTTGAAACCATCAGCTAAAGCGCCACCAGCAGCTCCTTGGTGCTGCCAAACCATAGGCACCTGCCCTGGCCAAGCTGTTTTCTGCCAAAAGGGGAAGCGGGCACGTGTGTGGCCTTGGCAGCGTCTGCACAGAGGGCTGCTGCCCGTGCCCAGGCTCCAGACCTGCCCTTCTCCGGGTCTGGCCACGCATTCGGTTGTTTTCTTTGCTGGCATTGTTGTCTGGGCACCAAGTCTCCCTGAAATCCCTGGCAGGGGAAAAAGAGATGGAGAAACCAAGGCAGAGGGGGCAGGGAGAACCCCAAGGTGTGCAACGCTGTCCCTGGAGCTGGCAGGGGCATGCCCTGGCACACACACAGCTGGGAGCAGGGCCCCAAACTGCTGCCTGGGGGTCCTCAGGCTGCTCGAGCACCCCTGGGGTCTGCACCTCCTGCTGCACCCTTGCTCCCACTGGCTGCCTGAATCCTGGGAGGAAGGATGGCTGCAGCCCTGGCAGCGAGGTGACGGGCCAGGCAGTGGCTGGGCACAATGCCGTGCCACCACGCCAGGGTGTAGCAGGGCTCTGCGGTTTCAGTGCCACCCTGGGAGCCCTCAGAGGCCAACTGCAGCTCTGGGGCTGGGTGTTTTTTCCTCCCCAGCCATGTCCCCCATTTCCTGTTATCTTTTCTCACTCCCTTTCTGCATTTCTTCCCCTGCATGATTGAGAGCCCAGATACAGGGCGCTGCACAGCTCGTGGGGCACCATTCCCAGCCTGGCCTGCTCCAACCCCACTGGCTGCAGGCAGCACTCCCTGCCTGGCTGGAGCTGCCAGCATTGTCTGAGCTGCTGTCCCCGTCTCCCCCCAGCACAGCCCTAGGGACCAGGGCCACACGGGATGGGGTTGTTCCCCTCCGTGGAGGACAGCAGCGGGGACAGCATCAGCCACAAGGTTTCCATGGGGGATGCAGGATGGGTGGCAGAGCAGGAGGGAGCTTTTCCCTGGCATTTGTAACCGTCAACCCTGAGCGCTGCCCCAGGACACCCCAGCAGCAGGGACAATGCCTTGGGGGGTACTTGCAGCCAGTGGGTCCAGACACCCTGACCCCTGTGGCCTAGGGACGTGGCAGCACAGTGCTGGATGCTGGGGCTGCCTAATTGCTCCAAGTCAGGCTGGGAGCCAGGGCCAGCTCTGCCTGGGTTGGCTGGGCAGAAGTCCCCAGCACCCGGGGCCAGGCCATGGGACCATCAGCACCAATGCAGAGCAGGGAGCTTTGTGTGGGTGGGTGCTGCCATCTGCAGATGACCCCACACAGACACAGGAGCTTGGTCACCCGCAAGGAAGTCCTCTGAGAGGTGCTCAGGGCCCCAGGTCCATGGAGAAGATGGGCCACCAGGTCCTCGGGGCTGTGCTGCCCCATGGCACAGTGCTGGGTCTGTCTCTTGCTGGCCCCTCACAGGGTTTTGTGGTCATGCCAAGCAGAAGAGGAGCTGCAAAGCTCACCAAGACCCACCCAGGGGCAGCAGGAGGGAGGGAGGCAGGAGACTGAGGTCAGGGCTTTGAGCCCATGTCACCCACAGCCCCATCCATGACCCTCCCCACTGCACCCCCCCGAGCTGGGGACCCACTCTGCTGCAGGGCAGGTTTTTTTGAGGTGTTTCCAGTGTGAGGTGGGGACAGCCCATGTGCAATCCCTTGGGAGAAGCCAAGGGTGCATGCATCCTTCCTTCCCCAGGGACCAAGTAAAAGCCATTGCTGAAGCGAGGTCTGGGGGCTGAACCCCCACTGACCTTCACACCAGATCTCCCCTGTATTTCAAAGCCAGAGAAACACCAACAAACCTCAGGGTCATCCCAGTGCAGCAGCCCCCAAATTACTCATGCCAGCAGGGTGCAGGTGGAAAGGCACTGAGCCAGCCCTGGCCACCCCGTGCTCAGCTCCTCTTGACGCCAGGCAGCTCTGCTGCCTGCACGCCTGCCCACACATCCTGCAGCCCTTCCAAACCAGCCACCCTCCCCAGGGCATGGAGCCGGGGCAACTTGGTGCCTCCCCACCACCCCGACCCCCCGGGGCATCCCTTGTCCTCCCTCACCTCAGCACAATGTTTCACCCAGAAGTTTTTTGAATAATGGCGCTTTGTGGCAGGACAAGGGGAGCTTTTGTTAGTGCCTGGGCAGCTGTTGCAGAGCCTGCCCGAAATGCAGTCACCCTTGGCAACACCACTTGGGGCTGGGGCAGCCAAACGAATTATTCACAGCTCCCGGCTGCACTTGGCCGTGAAAGCAGCATGGAAACGGAAATGGTTAAAGATAGCTGCAGGAGAGGAGAGGGGGCAAAGGAGAGAGGGCGCTATGGACAGGTGGGGGGGAGGGAGGGACAGGTTGTGAAATGAAGAGAACCAGAGGAATGGAAAGAGGGAGGGAGAGATGGATGGATGGATAGAAGGATGGATGGAAGGAAGGACGGACAGAGAGCTGGCCTGGTTCAATGCTTACTGCTGTTGAGGGCATCCTTCCCAGCCTCAGAGTCACAGCTGGGCTGGGGGTACAGCTTGTTGCAGGCAGGCTGGTCCCCTCCAAGAACACAGGTGGGCATCCCACCACTTGTCTGTGGGTCCAGTTGGGCAGAAGCTGCGGGCAACTGGGCCCGAGCAGGGCAGGCAGCAGCCAGAATGTGGGGACAGCAGTGCCACCCTCGCACGCGGACCTCCACAGCGACAGGCTGCCCTGAAGCAAGTCTGTCCTGGAGGGACAAGGACCGCGGAGAGGCTCGGTAGGGGGTGACCTCTCTGTGTCTCTGGCGTGGAGAGGAGGAGGGGTGGCTCCAGGGGCAGCTCCTGGGGGTTTCCCTGACTCGGCACCTCCCTGGGGCAGGAGCCCCGCTCCCGGCCCGGCCGTACCCGGAGAGATGCGGCTGCCGCAGCGGCCGCCCCCCCGCCGTGCCCCGGAGGCTCCGTGCCTCGGTTGCCTGGCGAGGAGCAGGATCCACCAGCAAGCGCCCGCCTGGCGGCAAATCCCCGGGGACCCTCGCGGGACGACGGTGCCCTCCGGGCCCGGCAAAGCCGCCCCGCAGCCGGGCCGCGGGGCTCCGGCCTACCCTGGACCGCAGGGGCGCCCCGAGGCCCTGCCCCAAGCCGGGCCGGGCG